CGACTGAAAATGGTAAATTATTTGCCTTTTTTCACAAAGTTCATTTTCATAGCTAGCTATAATAAGGCATGCTTCAAAGACAGTGGCTGAATTTTGTAAAGGCACAAAGAAAAAATCTAAATCATTGGATATCCATTCTGAAACCTTCCTTTAGAGAAATTGTTATCGATTTTGACCAATTCCCTAAGAGCTAATTGCTTGAATTCAGCCGCAAAATAAAGATCTCTACGTTTATAGAGGTTCATATGTAGATCATTAGGGAAGGTAATGGCACAGTTCACGATAATTTTGAGGTACCCGTTTTTATTTTAAAAACGGAAGTATAGGTTGGGAATAATTCATCGGTAGTGAAGAAAGCGAGGGAACTTGCCAATTTCGAGAAAAATATGGCTCCAGGAAACTAGGGAAAATAGAGGTTGGACGAGATCGCCATGACGGAAATAACATGGAAGGTGTATCAGGACGAGATTTCAGTTACTGCGATTGCGCAAAGAGCTGACTACATCAAACCAGAGCTGTACAGAACTCTTTTCCATTGTCGCTATGGGTCATGACAAGTTGCTTGAAATTCTTACTGGGTTCCCTTGTGAATGGTGCAGCCTCTACGATGCCGGTGAAACTCGTCCGAAGAGAAACACGGGCCAATCTTAGAGCCTTTATAACTCCCTAACTAGGCCGTTCTCCGGTCTAAGAGCGCCATATATGGTATAAGAGGGGCTTCAAATTCGCCTTATCGGAAAATCTCGGAAACCATTTTATCGTGAACAGTCCCTTTGAGTCTAAATCGGCGTATCCATTAGCGAATCAAGTTTTGACTTTTGTGATCAACCCCAAAAAATGAAAGGCTAATGTGAGAGTTAAATTCATCGTAGCAAACCACGGCTGCTAGTCGTTCATATTATATTTAGGTCCATTGGTTGGTGGCCTGCTTCAGCGCTCTACTCTGCGAATACTCGCATGCGTTATTTACTGATCAAGGTGGGGGAAATCAAATGCTGCGATACCGAGTTACCAAATATAACTTCTTCAGAATGTGCCAGCTATCCCGCGCTGGTCACTGATGCCGATTATGTGAACTTCGCCGAAGGTTGTGCAGGAAAAGAAGTCCTCGGATTCAAAGAAACCGTTCAACGGGAATTCCATGCAATTAGGATCACCGAGCCTTTGTTCAATAATCTTTTCGTGAATGCTCGTAGAATCAACTTCCATATCTACGTG